AGTAACTATGTTTTTTTGGTGTTATTTGTAGTAAAACCATGGTTAATTTCCGTAAGGGCATTCTCCAACTTGACTTCTCACCCTCAAACTAATGAGTAGAGTCATATCTTTAAGCTCATTATATATCCCTCGAGTATTTCACCTTTCATCAAACCAGAGTACACACATTCAAACCAGATTATTTGCACCTAAAAACAGTTGACTGCTCTGTATAACACCTGATGGAAATCTAAAAGTGGGCCCACAATCACTCAATTCATAGAGAACCGTTCTTGTGACCCAAATCAATTATTAACAGTGAAACAAGTAGCGCACACACAGTAACAAATAAGGAATAACCGCAACCTTTAAGTTGCCCAATTCAGTTACAAGACTCAATGTCACAACCATCGACTCTTAGAGAGTGAAAGTGAAAGTGACGAGTCATGTAGCCAAGGGCGTAGTTTTGGTTTGAACATTGGTTCCACTGTTTTAGTGGAGACCCGGGTCATGCTCCCTCATAAGGTTTATTTATTTGTTTGTTTGCTTGTATGTTTATTTTTGTAAAATTATTTTTTGTGCTATCATCATGCAAAGTTGGCTGAGAACATAACTGCAATAAAGTAGCCTAATAGCCTAGTTAACAATTACTTGTTTACATAGGATATATAATGTATAACCTATTTTATATTATTTAGGCATTCATAAGCTATAGTTTGACAGAATGTTCTAATTCAACATGCCATGGAAAGACAATCTAACCTAACATTTTCTTATATTGATATTGTTTATTTCTTACTCCTTAAGAGTTCATCAGGCTCTTAATGATTTAACCTATGCCATCTATATCTGAATATATAATATGTGAAGGACAGTTTTTTCCATCACTCATCATAGAACCCATGCACACATGGCTCTCGATTCTGACTTGTAGCTACTTGCTCTTATGAAAATGTACCATAGTTCTTAACAGAATTTGTTATAATAAGGCTAGCCTATTATTCATTACCAGGCCAATAATGACTTTTTTTTATTCATCTATATAGCATTCGTTATGAAAAACAACAGCCTGCACATTTAGAAACAATAGCTACAACATGCCACTGTTGAAATATAAATCTATAGGGAAAAATCTACTCCCTTAACAGATTATCTATTTATAAATTCTACATCAAGTTCAGCAAAATAAGTCTACAATAAAACGTGATAAATTCTTCTGGTAAAGGTGGTCATGAGTAGGCCTAGTTTAAAAAGATTTGAATATGCGTTAGTGCTGGTGCAAGATTATGTTTTCTCCTCTTTTCATCAGTCTTTTTATTTTATGTGCCTTTTTTAGATAATATTCGACTTAGGGATGCACCGAAATTATTCGGCCGAAAATAGCAAAAAAAAATCTCTTTCGGTGTTCGGTCGAATAATACCGACCAATCACTAACGCGATCAAATAGAGGCACGCACTAATGCAGCAAACATGTCGGCAGTGTGAAAATATTTAAAACTATCAGAGAAAGACGCAGAAATCATTACAAGCACGAAGCACCGACAGCGAGAGACTGTTTAGTGCTGTATCACATGTCTCCGATGAGAAGAAGAGGTGGCTGATGCTGGTGTTTAGGCTAGGCTACTGTATGATGATTGAAATCACATGCACAAATTGCATGAATTCTGACAGTGCTGCACGAGCTCGCGGCGCCAGGGTTCAAAGTCCAAAGCGCGAGGAAAATCTGCGCTGAAACACTGTTACTTGTCAGTTGCTCAGTAACATTTTTGTGAATTTTTTTAAAGGCATGTGACAATGTGATACGTGTGACAAACATCTTCCCAAATTCGTAATGAGAATCATTTATAAATCTGCATGCTGTTGTTAACAAAAAGAAGCACTGAGATCTTTCTGCGGGTTTCTGCCAAAATAAAAGCCGAGAAAAAGCAATAACTCCATCAACCTTCATAAATGTTAGTATTGTAATTTTACTGTTGTTCTGTAAAATAAAATAATAATACTTGCCCTACAACAGCTCTATTAATACATTTATTATAATATTCACACATAGTGTTCAAACTGGGATCTGTGATAATATTCACACATAGTGTTCAAACTGGGATCTGTGATAATATTCACACATAGTGTTCAAACTGGGATCTGTGATAATATTCACACATAGTGTTCAAACTGGGATCTGTGATAATATTCACACATAGTGTTCAAACTGGGATCTGTAATATATTCTAATGTTTTAAAAGAATTTGTCTTCTGCTCAGCAAGGCTGCTATTATTTTGTACAGTAAAAAATACATGCCTGATTTAAGTCTCAAAAATGGCCAAAATATTATTTTACTAACTTATTCATTTTAAGTTAAATTGTGCTTTGTTGGTATAATGTCTGCTAGAATGTTAAAAAAAATGTTCAGTGTTAAGTAAATTATATTGTTGTTTTGTAATTGATTTTTTTATTTGAAAACCAGGACCAAACAGTAAAAAGCACATTTTGGCTATTTAATTTATGCAATGGTGAAAAAAAGAAAAGAAAAGGCAAAATAGGCCTACATGGGGGGGAATTTTTTTTTGAAAAACCGTGTTCGGTATTCGGCCCAGTGTTTCATTTTATTCGGCTTCGGCCAAGAATTTTCATTTTGGTGCATCCCTAGTTCAACTTTGTCCATAGCATTTTAAAGTGGCAATTTCACTTTAGTTCCCCCCAATACCCAGCACTAAGCAGTGAACACACACACACACACACACACACACACACACACACACACACACACACACACACACACACACACACACACACACACACACATCTGGAGCAGTGGGCAGCCATTTTTGCTGTGGCACACGGGGAGCAGTTGAAGGTTCAGTGCCTTGCTCAAGGGTCTCACCTCAGTCGTGGTTTTGAGGTTGGAAGAGAGCGCTGGTCTTTCACTCCCCCCACCTACAATCCCTGCCGGTACCGAGACTCGAACCAGTGACCTTTGGGTTACTCTAACCATTAGGTCACGACTACCCCCTAAGTGTAGACGCAGTCAAAATCTCTGAAATGCAACAGTGAGTCTGCAGCATCCAACAATAGAACGACCTTTCTGTCATATTCAATTGCCAACTCATACAAGGACACACAATCACACGCACAAACAAATCACTACTGAACACCACCTGTGAGACGATATGCGTAGATCTGCCAAACTATCACAGAATGACACTATAATTAGTTTGTGGTTGTCTTAGCAACAAACATCACTAAACAATACCTGTAAAGAAATATAATAGCCATAACTGTGTGCTAGATGGAAACCGTTTGGCAAATCAATTCAACTGTGTGCTCATAATCAGTCTTGTGACCGACCCCTTTGAATTGTTGAACCTGGCTGCTCTCCCTTCCACAACCTCAATTTTGTCCTTGTGATTTGTAATTGATCAAATTCCCACATGACCGCTGAACTTAACGTCAAATCACGCTGAATGTTACGTCAGTCAACTGGATCTCAAACAACACAAGAACACCTGGACTTTTAGGCAAACATTACAGCAAAACATTACAGACCCTGTTTCATTGATGGGAGATTGTCACACTCTCAATGGGGGCAAAAGTTGAACATGAAGCTGCATCAGAACACTAATACTGATAAGATGTAGAAGCTGCTCTTTTGTAAAGTAATGTTTTTAGATACAGTTTGGGTAACTGGTGTGCATCTCTTATACCTGAATTCACTTTTCATAGACTCAATAAATTCATATTATGGTTAATTCATATATATGGTTTCTGGCATGCAAATACCTGTATTGTACCACACAGAGTCTTGAGTGGCACCAATTGTGCCCCTATAATACAGTCTGACCTCTCTGATATCTCTTTACCAGTCATTGGTCTTCTCCATGCTAGTCCTAAATTGAGTAGGGATCTATTTGATTCAATCTGAGTGTTACCTACATTTAACCTTATGAAATTTGCTTGATGATACGAATTATCATCATCATGATGCAACATCAGATGTTGAAACTTTCACTTGCAATAAATAGCTGTTAAACTAAATCAGATTATCTTTAATAAGAATACATTGTCTATATAAAAATGAATTTATGCAGTTAGTTAGTATTTTAGTTTTGGCATTTCAGACACAAAAATACTAGTGGAGCGTAATTGAGTTTGCTTAGAACTTTTTATTTGTTTATTCAAAGTTTTGGTTTCCAGTGGAAGTGGAGCTATAATTTAGCTTAACGCAAGTAGAGGGATAACTGAAGTCAGACCATCAGTGTTTTCCCTTGCTCAGTTTACATCTACTAGTTGCTTAATGCTCATTGGTTGAGAAGAAATAGGACTATAGAAATTTTGTCCGAAAAGCAAGCTACTCAATGTTTCAAAAAACGATGAGATGCTTGCCTAGATGGAATTTTAGGGCATCATATACCCTAAAACACTGCACATGGCTACATGTAGGCATCTCATCAGTTTTTGATCCAGACATAATAAATTCCTCATACCTAAAAAAAAAAAAAAGTCTTCAAATAAATATAAAAATGCCTCAAAATGCTAAAACAAGGCATGTGAACAGATGCTGTTTTTAATAACTATTATAATTGTATTTACTTTTAAATTCTTTCCTCTCATAACATCACCCCTTCATTGCTCACGTGAGCGCGTAGCGATAGATTCAAAAGACGAGAAAAGCGAACAACGTGATGAACGATGGAGATCCGCTTCTTGGTCTTAAGAGAAGTATCTTTTTTGATGACGGTGGGTCACAAAACCCCTATTCTCCCACCAGTCTGTCTCAAATCGACACAATGTCTCGATCTGCCAGTCTGCGCGTACTACGACATTGCGAATGATGTAACTGGCCCGAAACATTGCACTGAGAGGCGAACACAAAGAGAGTTGTTGCTCGCACCCTCCAGAAGTTCAGGTTAATTAATTGTGTTCTTCTAAAGCTCAAGACGAGTCTAAAGTTAAACGGACCCCCCTCTCTCCAGTAGAACCATGTTGTCCACACAATACGCTTGTAAAAGCGCCAATGAAACATACCTGCGCTTTTCATTCACCAACTCTGGTTGTAAGTTCGCGCTATTCGTCTGCAATGTGCGGCGGCCCCGGGTCACTGAGCAGCATGGAGAGCTCCGAATGGCTCCGTAGATATGTGGTGTGTGAGTTTCCCATCCGCTCGACTCTTCATAGAAACCCTGCCTGCACATGCGCACAACTGCTGTTCGGCCCCACGAGCGTACGCGGTGCAATAGTCTCCAGTTACAAGGACACGAGGAGTTATGACTTTGACCGTGATGTTAAAACCTCACCGGGGCCTTTTGAAGCTTAAGCTATATATTATTTGCAATTGTATTATAATTTAAATGATAAAAAAAAAACATTTAAAAAAAATCTAATAAAATCAAGACAGTAAGTAGTTGAACTTTTAAAGCTGTGTTCTACACTGTGATGAAAAGTCTTTTATCTTGTTTTCAAGTAAACATATCTAAACATTCTTAAAAGAAAATATATTGAATTGAGAAGGAAAAAATAATAAGATATTTAAGTACTAAGTAAACATTTAAGTTGAATGTGGATACTTTTGACTTCAACTAAATAATTATGTATGTATTGGGCTAGGTACTTAAGACTTTTATTTGAGTAACAATTTTGACCTGTACTTTAACTTAAGTACAGTTTCTTAGTACTTTTTACATCCTTCATATTAACGCTTTTTAATTTTGTTATGTAAGTTTGCTGCTTAAGTAAATTGAAAAGATGTTTAGATGTAGTGTGTGTAGCTTCCTTGTATTCCCCAATATTCTGCTGTCTCCCTTTCTTTCAACTCCAGCTGACAGCATGTGAAATTGCTGTGCTGCACCAGCAGAGATTAATTAGTCTTTTGTTAATAAGCATGGGCTCCAATCACAGCAGCAAAGAGAACAAATTCCTTCATACTGAATCAGAGATTGACATAAGAACAAACTCTGAAATGAAAGAAGAATATGGAAATAAGTCTTGGTAAACCACTTTTTCTGTTTATATGAATATTTTTGGTGTGCACGAGCATGCAAACACAGATAGTGGCCACAAATCCTTAACCAATGAAGCTCTTTGCAGGATGTATAAACAGAATTAATTAATCTCAGATTAATTAAAATTTGAATGAACATTCGACAGACCTGCAGTTCACAAAGGTTCACCTTTACATAGTGGGCATGTCTTTAGTTTATATATGCTAGACAGCAAGGATAAGTCCCCTGGTGTGTTCCTGTATGTCACATCCTGAGATCTTTTTGATGAAACATTCTTAAAGCAAGCATTTGACCTACCAAACATCTGTGATTGTTTATTATACATTCCATGATTTTTATTACATTTTGAGTGTCCAACAGGATTGATGGAAAAAGCTGAAATCCCAGGAAACTCCCCACTGAAGCATTCCAACTTTAAACAGGAGTGGAAATCAATAAATACAAGTGGAATCTCTCAGATAGTCATGCACTGCAGATATGTATGAAAACATTAGTGATAACATGATCCATGTGCAAAATCAATTCAATTCAAAGGTGAAATTATAATCTTTTAAACACTACTCTTATGGCAAGTTGGAAAGTTCAGTAGCTATAGCACAGCTCGAAATGAGCACCTCCATTATTCATTCGATGCATAAATAAATAATTCATATGCTAACCTTCCTCTTTTTCTTGCACTCTCTCTTTCAAAACAGATACTGGCATACTTTATATCCTGCTTTCATCATCTTTCAGGGTTCAAAATCATGAGCACAGCTTTATCAGAAGCAAACACACCCATCAGTGCCATCACTGAAAGCCCAGACTTCACAGGTGAATTATTTCTTGGCAAACAATAAGCTATTTGATGATATCAAGTGTCAAAGAAAATAATTGCCAGAAAAACATAGTGATAACATAATTTGTAATTGGTTAGCGTTACATAGTAGGCTTAAGGTGCAGTCAAATTTACTGTTGTTTGGCAAACTTTTGCGGGCTTAATCCAGTCATTTCAATAGAAATCCATGCAGTTGGGAATTTCGAGTGCAAGTCAAAAGATTTCCACACATAGACTTCGTAATGGGTTCAATTTTCTCATGTGAATTTGCCACGTTGGCCAACAAAAAGCTGCTTGGTTTGAAAGTAACTTCTGTGTGAGCTAAGTTTCACGATATACAATGGCCCCACAAAATTTCACTGTAAATTTGCAAATGTAAGTTTTGCACCTTTAAAGATACTTAAATTAGATAGCTTGGAGCCATTTCCATAGACAAACTATTTTAAATGGGATGTTTTTAAAGTTTTATTTGAATTGAATTTTCACCCTTATGTCATTCCAAACCTATATGACTTCTGTGGAACACAAAAGAAAGATGAGTATTTTTTGTCCACGCAGTAGGGTCTAGTGTTGTTTTGGACCCCATTGACATTCATTATGTGGACAAAACAAGTCATTTCAAATATCAAAATATCTTCTTTTTTTGTTCTAGTGAGTGTATATTTTCCTTATATCACAGAACCAATATGTTCCTGCACAAATCCTCTCCCTCCATCTGTTATTTTTTTCACTACTGCACGACCCGTCTCCGTTTGAACTGATCAGAGGTGGGAACTTTAATCCACAACACAAGCAAACTAGCCCACAGGCCTGTTTATCCATGCTGAACTTCTTCTCTACACAAGTCCCTCTCAAAACATCCCCCTACAGTTCACAGGGAAACCGCCTGTGTCTCCTCCTGTTTCTGTTCCATTTATGATCAACAGAAACCTATTTTTCTGTGCACAAACCAAATATTTACAACAGCAGCGGAGATGGGTAGAGCAGTATTTTAACCGAATAATGTGATTAATACTTAACTGTGGATACGGTCACGGCCCTCAGTGGGGTGGATGGCTTGCTCTGATTTCTGATTTAATTTGGCTTTCACATTGCACTTCTGCTTATCTAAAAGTCATTTCCAGAATTTGTTAGCTGAAGAACAGCACAATTCAAAAAGCCTCTATCTCTGGTTGTATTAGAAATTCATTTTCATGAAAGATGCTTTTGTTTGCTTTTGATCAGGGCCGGATTTATGCATAGGCATTCTAGGCACGTTATTTCGCATGCAACAGAATTTTGCAATAGAGAACACTGTAATGGTTTTCATATGAATTATGATTAATTTAGTTTGTTGTTTTGGGGTGGTAACAATATATATTAATAGGCAAAGGGGCTATTAAGTTATTTTGCCTATGTCACAATAACAGTTAAATCCGGCCCTGCTTGGTACGGAATGATCCCTCCAAGAGCTGGAGTTTCCATATCTGAGGTGGATTTTTGATGAGAGGTCAGTGGTGAAAATGGGTGTTTTTCTGTTTAGTTAAAACTACCACTGAATACAGATTAAGGGCCCTGATATGTCAATTGAAATTGAAGAGCAAACTGGTGTTCAAGTTTGTTTGGGGAGTTCGAAACAGCATGCCAAAGCGAACTTGCCAGAAAGATTGCTCCGGCTGGAAGAAACCTTCGCATGGAAATCTTTTATAGTTTATTTCTTCTGTTCAGTCACTCGAGGTCAGGTGCAAGTAAAAACATGAACACACTGGAGAGCTATTTTATAGGAGAAATTGAAGTTGTAATTCTAATTGAAAGTGACACTGACACTGTTTTTCATGTGCAATGTAATAAAGCTGGTTGCTTTAAAGCAATCTATTGTATTAAATAACTATATAAATAAAGATGATGTGACCAGAGTGCCGAATTGCAGGGCATATCAGTGTGGCTGTGATTTTTGTTGAGTGTTTATTTTGTTACTGAGAGGAAAGCGTGCGCCACATATTTATATATTCATCTAATGAATGTTTTTAACAGTACACTGCTGCAAAAGGTATTTTGAAGTTTTGTGAAGAACGAAAAAAATAACTTTGCAGTGAGTATGTCAGGGCTTTAAATCACCAACCCTGCATCAAAAGACCCTCAGTAAAACAGAAATATCAAGTGCAATACAGTTTGAGAGACATGTGTTTAGCCATCTACAGGGCCACAAGATACTTTATATCCTGCTTTCATCATCTTTCAGGGTTCAAATTCATGAGCACAGCTTTATCAGAAGCAAACACACCCATCAGTGCCATCACTGAAAGCCCAGACTTCACAGGTGAATTATTTCTTGGCAAACAATAAGCTATTTGATGATATCAAGTGTCAAAGAAAATAATTGCCAGAAAAACATAGTGATAACATAATTTGTCTTTGGTTAGCTTTACATAGTAGGCTTAAGGTGCAGTCAAATTTACTGTTGTTTGGCAAACTTTTGCGGGCTTAATCCAGTCATTTCAATAGAAATCCATGCAGTTGGGAATTTCGAGTGCAAGTCAAAAGATTTCCACACATAGACTTCGTAATGGGTTCAATTTTCTCATGTGAATTTGCCACGTTGGCCAACAAAAAGCTGCTTGGTTTGAAAGTAACTTCTGTGTGAGCTAAGTTTCACGATATACAATGGCCCCACAAAATTTCACTGTAAATTTGCAAATGTAAGTTTTGCACCTTTAAAGATACTTAAATTAGATAGCTTGGAGCCATTTCCATAGACAAACTATTTTAATTATATATTCATCTAATGAATGTTTTTAACAGTACACTGCTGCAAAAGGTATTTTGAAGTTTTGTGAAGAACGAAAAAAATAACTTTGCAGTGAGTATGTCAGGGCTTTAAATCACCAACCCTGCATCAAAAGACCCTCAGTAAAACAGAAATATCAAGTGCAATACAGTTTGAGAGACATGTGTTTAGCCATCTACAGGGCCACAATTATCACCATGACACTGACCAGAGACGCAAAGAAGTTGTTCTCTTTTTTTCTGTTACTAAGGGGCGACATATGGAGTGAGAAGCATGGTTCCCTTCCACATTCCTGGAGACCCCCGCCCGTCCCTCCCTAACACTGCATGTTTTCCCTGTCTCCTTAATCAAACACACCTGATTCAAATCTTCAGCTGAAGAGACTCCAAGACCTGAAATGGGTGTGCCAGACAAAGGAGGGGATTCTGTACTATCCACTGCTGTAGATAGTACAGAATGTGATATAACACATCTCATTTAAATGCCTAATTCAGTCGCACACATATTTTCCACCAATTGAAAGAATGCGTTGGCCCCTGATGATTCTAAGCACTCTGAGATGGAAGGATATTCTCAGCAATCACACACTGATCAAGGCCAACTATGATC